TCATTTGTATGGAACTATTTTAAAAAAACAAAAATAAAAAATAAAAATGGATTGGTTATATCAATTGCGATATGTAAACATTGTAATACAGTTTTAAAAATCTAAGAAAACAGATCAACTTCCAGTTTTTAAAAACATCTTATTCATCGCCATAAAAACAAATTAACAAAATTAAAAGGATCAAAAGAATCTGATGTAGAACAAAAGATCTCTGTTTTGGATATGCTAAAAAACAAATCTGTAAGTTATTCAATATATAATAGTTATATTTAAAATAGTTAAATATAAGCAAAAATTTACTAGATAAGTATGATTATACAAATAGCCAATATATTAGTTATATTTATCAGTAAATTTTTGCTTATATCTATCTAGGATATAGCTAATAAACTTGTGATATCTTCAATATTAATAATACTTCATATATTATAATTGCTAGGCTGTAAATAACAATTAGGAAACTTTCGATCCCAAGAAATTTGCTAATTTTATAAAAGGATGGGTAATTAAGCATAATCGACCATTTACATAATAGCCTTAAATCAATATTTATATATTTGAAGCCTCAAGCAATAGGTAAATTTTCTATTGTATAATATCTATATAAATATTATTTATATTTTGGATATATTTAGTATTGTAATTACAGTATTAAACTTTTTATTTTATTTTTTTTTTTAGTACTATCATCTAATTTAATAAGAAGGCATATTGTTGATAATTTTGAAGAAGAATATACACGACTTCAAAAAAAATTACAAGAAGTACCTAGGTGTATAGCAATCATAACTGATTTCTGAACTACTGATACTAATAACAAATCATTCATGGTAGTTACTATTCATTATATAGATACATTATAGTTATTAAAACATCTTTTATTTAATTTTATCCATATGGATAGATGTCATACAGGTGCCAAAATCACTAGTGTTATAGAAAGCTCTCTTAAATCAATGAGAATTATTTCAAAAATAAGCACTATTATATATGACAATGTATTTTCTAATAATAAATTTTTACAAAAATTTTCTAATTCTATTTTATTAGCTAGCATTTACTTTGATAATAAGCAACAATTGATATGATGTTTTGTACACATCTTAAATCTTGTGGTTCAAAATATTTTTAAAAACATAGAAGATGAATTAAAAAAAGTTATTAACTTTTTTTTATATATATATTTTTTATTTATTGTATTTTTTTTTTTTTTTTTTTTTGCAGGACTTTTTTTTATTTTTTATTTATTTTTTATTTAATTTTTATGTATAAAATAGAGATATTAAAACCAATTCTTAACGTCTCTACTTAGTGAAATTCCATCTACGAGATATGTGATTGTGCAATAACTTTATGAGTTATTTTGGATAAAATATCTCATACTAAATCAGATCTACACCAATATGTACTTTCTGAGAAAAATTAGAAAAAAATAAAGCTTCTTGTCACAATTTTAGTGCTATTTAAAAATAGTTAGTATTTTACTATATTTACTTTTAACTTATGTTGCAATTTATTTTTAATTAATTTTATATTTAGCAACAGTCAAAATGTCAAAGCAGAAATATCTAACATTATCAATAGTTATTCTTCTTTATTATATGTTGGTCAAAATACTTAAAAAGGCTAAACAAAAGGAAAGTGTACAGAAGATTTAAAAATGAATGTGTTACAAGCTATTCATTTTATTATTAAAAGTTGGAAAGAAATTAGTGCTAGTATAATTCAAAATTGTTGGTACTATACAAAAATTCTTTTTGCAGATATCAATTTCTACTTACGAAACCTCTCAGAAGGTTTTTGTTAATCTACAGACCCTGTGTTTAATGATATTGTGAATACTCTTGAGACTCTTAACCTCCCTGACCCTATGCAAGTTGATGAATTCTTAGAAATACCTGATGAAAATGTTGTCTATGAAGTTCTTTCAGATAAAGAAGTTATTAGAGAACTTGTTAAAATATTCAAAACTAATAGTCTAACAATTATCAATATGAAAAATATGGAAGATAAAGATGATAGTATTGAACTCTCAATAGTTAGTGCCAGTATAGCAAACAGAAGTTTGAAAACTATATGCACTTTTTTGCTTTAGCAAGATAATATGGAAGAATATATTAATATTCTAAGAAAAATTGAAAAATTTATTAATAAAACAAAGGTGGGCTAAATACAACAAAGCAAAATTGATCAATTTTTTGTGAAATAAATTTTTTTTTCTTGAATGTTTAAATTCAATCTAATCTAATAAAGATCTAAAAATTTTTTTTGCTTGATTTAAAAAAAAAATTATAAATTTATTTTTTTATACTATAATATTGTAGACAAGTAAAACTGCATGTATATTAACAATACTTACTTGTTGTAAATCTTTTCTATTTAATAACGTCTTACTTGTGCATACAAAATATAACTCTAGTTTTGTTATGCAATTTTTTTCATGTTAGAATGATGAATATGATTATATTGTTATTAGCTAGTTTTAAATTTAATCACATGTATACATTTACGGAAGTGTATATATATGCCCAAAACCCCAAAATTTTATATATATGCAGAATATAGAGGTAACTAAGTCCTGAACTTGGGACCAAGCTATGATTTGTATATAGAGAAGGTTTGCACTTAGAGGGTGTGCACTTAGAGGGGTGCAACTATAATAAAATATGACTTTGAGCTTTAAGTAAACCTGTCTAGTACCAAAAAATACATTATTTCAGTATATATTTGTATTTTATCTAAGTTTTAAGAGCTCAAAGTTTTAATCAATTAGTAAAACTATATATATTTAATATATTTAAATACAAATATGTATAATAGTTGCTTTTTTCAAGGGTGTAATAACTTAGTAAAGTAGTGGAGTTGTCATACTCTCAGATAGCAGGTCGAATCTTATAGACAATGATT